GGGGGGTGGAAAAGGAGCAAATTTTGTACAATGAACTCATGATTGAGTTTTGGAAAACTGGAGTCTTGTCAAATCCTGGAAATACTTTTCATTCAGAAGTAATTCACAGAAACTATAGATACTCGAGTATCTGTCTCAAAAAAAGGTGCAGAAACCCATAGTCCAGAACTCAAAAAGATGGTGCACATGGGCAATTTAAATGCATGCTTGCAAATACATATATTCATGAACATGCACAGACATACAAAGGTATCATTTTTACACTTATATAAAGCATGAAGAAATGGTATTATAAGAAGTTCGTATGTTCCCTTCACGCATAGGTAATGAATGAACAGCATGGATCTCTTTAAATCTACTCTGACTGTTTCTATATTTACAATGTACGAGCATGGAGTTTCTTCCATCAAAAGTATAAAGACATTAAAAAACACTTTGTAGAGAATTGTGAGAAGTCACACTAAGCAAAGTAAAAAATTCACAAATTTTAATACAAAAGAGAGCATTGAATTGCCTTCCTTATAATTTAAAACTATAGCCAATGGCCCTATGACATTTAAGGCAAAGCAATGAAACTTAACAGGTGCATTGTTACAAAATAAGCAGGAACACACTTCCAAAATAAAAGGCGAGCTACCAAACAGAAAAACATGCAAATAAGCTTGATCATCACCAATCTCGTTGCATGCACACCGATGATCGAAAGAAGTATGAAAATACAAGCAGATTAGCTATTATCAATACCGATTTCCTTTTGCCTTAACTCCAAAGCCATACGTTCATTCTCAAGTTTCATCCGCTCAAGTTCCATCCTTGCCATCTCCATTTCTCTGTCCTTTTTTTGACAAAATCTTTGCCATTTGAACCGGTCTTTCTCCAGTTCCAACATTTGTTCATGAAGATGTAGCCTCTGTTCTTCTAATTGAAGAGCACGGTGATTAATCCACTGCTTTTGTAACCTGTTTGTTTTCATGCCTTCAGGAGACCCCTGCTTCGCATCAGTATCAGCATCAGCATCGGCATCAACATTCACTGCCTGGAAATTAGAAGTTCTGTTGTGATCCAGAAAATTCAAAGAATTTCCAAAACTAAAATCTTCATGATCCTGATATTGTTTAATCCTCTTTGTTGAGCTGCCCGGCATCCCATAAGCCATGTGATCCCCAGATAAAACATTATTATCCTCGCTTTCATCATGATCATCCAATTCATCTTCTTGATCAACCTCTTCATTATAATCTTTTGAATGCCTTTTCACGTCACTGTCATCATGATCATCTCTATTTCCAAGGGCTAAGTGCAAAGAACGCTGCAATTCAGGATCAGGAGGTAGATGCAGCCGGTTCCCATTGTGGTATGAACACATCTCTTCGTAGTGCAAATGCTTTGAGCTTAGAATTTTCCGAACTTCCTCCTTTGCTTTCTCGGAGATGTGATCCATCACATCTAAAAGTGATGGATCCTCAACGACTTCACACGAAGTTCCTCTCCCAAGGATCTCATTGAGTCTCTTGTACCTTTTGTTGAGGTCATTGAATTTATCTTCACATTGTTGAGGTGAAACAAAATGTCCCCTTTCAGCCATAACTTTCGAGACTGATTTCCATTTGCCTTTTTTCTGTAAACTTGCGCATTTTCTCCTCACAACACCACCATATTCTGGAGCTGCCTCCTCACTAATGTAAGAAACAGCTGTAATCAACAGCCTTACCATAGCATCAGTCCATTTCACCCGGTGCCATGGGGATGCCTTCTTTCCTCGGCTTGGATCACTGCTGCCATCAGCATTTTCTTCCATAAAACTTGGCTCATCCTCATCACTTGCAGATTTTCGCCTTTCCCTTCTGTCATAGTCTGCCATGGAAAATGTCTGGTCCTGATCTCGCATGCTTCCTATTGTAAGGGGAAAATTTTCGTGAATTGTAGAATGAACAATTGATGAACCTTGTCTAGGATGAGAGTGATGTTGGTGGGGTGCCAGCTGATTTTGTTGGTGATGGCGGATTCTTGTGGACCCTTGCAAATCAAAACCTCCATAAGAACCATTCTGTTGCATCATATTTCCTGATGGTGAATTCCCATCCATTATTAGCTAGAAAATCACAAATCCATTCACCTCATAAATCAAATACAAGTAGAAAAAACCCTCAGTTTTCACTCGGCAGCAAATTTGTTGAGCAAGATTCTAAGATCCTGAAAACCCTTTATTCTTAGTCCTTATCCCCCACAAAACCACCAGTTATAAGTCTCTACAGGTCAAGAACAACCTCTATCCTTCCTTAAGGCAAATCCAAATCCTTCTAAAGCTATCATAAAATTCTAAAATCGTAACTGTAAGAAATCATCCAGAAAACATCTACAGATATTTTATGCCTTCTTGGCTTTACAAGAACTAACACATTCAACCTTTACAAGAAACCCAGGAAAATTAGCAACAATCTTTGAACAAAAATGAAAAAAATCATTACTATAAAGCCAAGAACTTACATTTAACTGAAGACCGAGAAAGAAAAACCAGAACTTGAAGCTATCAAGTCAGATATCTCGGCTCCAAGAACGAAAAACCGCACGTCCCAAAAACTCTCAACAGGCTTTTAGATGGTGAAGAAAAAGACAGAGAAACTCGGTATGCCTGGAGATGCTTAAACATTTAAATAATACTGCAGTGTTAGGACGCTTTGTTGAAAATGCAATGTATTGGACGATCAGAGGTTGGGCCCACATGGGCACAATATTTTCACAAAAAATATTTGACAAAATTTTTTACTGGACAATATTTGACAAAAAATTATTGATTTTGGACTGACTTCTGTGAATAATATTTCGATGTCAAACGCGTCACCTCGAAGAGGCTAAAAAGCTTCTTCAACAGTAGGAAAATTCTTGTACTAAACAAACCATTTAAAAAGGCCC